TATTAGTGTGCGACCTCAGATGGACTGACTCTGTAGCTGAGGCATCTGTGTAAATTGTTGCCATTAATAAAAGTCTTACGCGGTTGTCCTGACACTATAGTAGAGGCTGCGATGCGGATTACGACGATCAGCTTCGTAAGGTGCCAACGAACTTCAACATACGTACGTACACCACGTCGGCTTGCGCGGTTGTGCCGTACCACTCTCCGATGAGTTTTCCGGCTGTTGTTCGGCACGATGTCCTGATATTTCACTCAACACGTTGGGACCTTCTTCAGGAACTGAAGTGTTAAAGAAGCTCTCAGCACGTGGAGTGAAGCATCTTCAACTGTGACGTGCGGTACAACCCGCTAACACTTCAAAGGGCTTAGCAGTGCCAGTGTCTAAAGTATGAATCGAATGCTTACAATAGCTCTGCGATTAGGCAATGATAATTATGGAATGTCGTGAGGATTTTTCCCCCCTCATGCTGCTATGAATGAAAACTTGGAATGACCTTTTTCATTATGATTGTAAACTCTTGCACACTTTGTGGGTTTTGTACCAGGCATAGTCAGCTGGCAGAAACAAAAACGAATATTCTTTGAAAACGATAACATTATTATTGCTTCCTTAATCCTAACATTACTCCAGAACGCTTACGATGAAATTTCGATTTAAAGCTTTCGTGACTGCAGGGATTCATCTTCTTGGTTCTTTCGGTAAAGTCACGTAGAAGGGAAATAATAAAATATTAAAAATAAAACATAATAAAATAATTATCACGACGTTTCGGCCACAACGCAAGCAGCCGTCCTCAGGTGAAGACCAGGTATGTCGAGGACAGACTCTGTCTCCTCGACAGACCTGTTCTCCACCTGAGGACGGCTGCTTGCGTTGTGGCCGAAACGTCGTGAGAATTATTTTATTATGTTTTATTTTTATTATTTTATTATTTCCCTTCTACGTGAGCTTACGATGAAGTTGGTGCAATTGAATGTGACAACGATAATCATCACTGCTAACGTTACTTTGTATGTGTGCGCACTAAGAGTTTCTATGCAATTTTTTTCTCAAAGTCTGCATAAACACACGCGAACATAGCACGTGTTGGAGACATCGCCTTGATTTTTTTTTCGTTTTAAACATAGCGGGTTTTGGCAGGAAAATCCGCATGAAGGAATAGTGGCTGGTGGTTGAGATTAACGACGGCGTGGCACCCGGAGGGATAAAACAAAAACACGCCCGGCAGGACGTCCAACACGGAAATGCAGCGACGAGATCGGCTCCTGTGTGTGCGTGTGCAAGTGCCGAGTGGATAGTTGCATCATCGCTGGACCGTGGGACATGGGCGACCACTTGGGGGAGGACTTTATCCAGCAGCGGATCGATCGCAGCTCTTGATGTTGATTATGGGTTGCGTCGGTTTGGCCCTCCGAAGGAGCATTTGGGAGGGCAACGATTCGAAATCGGGTGACGAGGTGGAGATGCGGGTGCAGAAGTGGTTCCATTGTGCGGCAGAAGTGCTTTGTGGGGAGTGGAAGTGTAGCGTGAGCATGCTGCACTAGGAACCCGGCGACCCGGGTTCGATTCCCACTCACGGTCAACTCCACTGACGATTATCCGAACCCGGTCCTGGGCCTCCCCTAGGTCGAGTCAGCCTCAAATGAGTACCTGGTGCGGCGTGTGAACATCGCCACTGGGGAGACAAAGGTGGCCGGGCGTGTTGCTGACCACCACCCACCCCCTCGTGTGCCGTGCCGCCCTTCAAAGGCGCTCGCTAACAGCACTTGCCCCAATAGTTTGTTAAGGCTACACGGGAGATCTTTGTCTCTGCCGTTGGTGGAGACTATGTGGAGGAATCGTGCGAGCTGCAATGATGCTGCAGTGAAAGCTCTGGTCTCCTGTGAGCAAAAGTCCAGCAACGACTTGCACCACCCTCACACGAGGGCCGTCGCGTTGTGAACTGGCCAACAGCGGCATTCCTTTGAACATTTTTGTAATTATTGACTTAGGACGCCCACACCGCCCCAAGTGCCTTCACACCCATTGCAAGCCCCCTCCGCCCCCACCCACCCAACCCACGCCACTCCCCGGACACTTTCACCAGCCCCGACCCCTACCGCGAAGGGCAGCGGGCAGCTCGAGGCCGGAGGTGGGGGCAGGGGGGGGCCACTAAAAAACAACCCCGACACGCCCCAGCTCTCTATGGGACAGAGGTCGCAAACGGGTTTTGATTCCTTACCCGTACCCGGCCGCACCAGGGTCGCAAACGGGTACCCATACCCTACCCGATACCCGGCTACCTGTACCCGGCCGGGTATCGGGTAGGGTACGGGTACCCGATTGCGACCTCTGGGATGAAGCCATGTTGCAGGCGCGGGTGGGTTGATTCTAGGAACTTGAATTGTGAGAAGAGACAAGACGTTGGGAAATGAGTGACAAACGGTTACTCACCAGTGACTCACGGTCCTACCCGTAACCGTACCCGGCCGCACCAGGTCGCAAACGGGTACCCGGCTACCCGTACCCGGCCGTGTACGGGTAGCCGGATATCGGGTAGGGTACGGGTATCGGGTACCCGATTGTGACCTCTGCTATGGAATGTGCTCACGTGGGGGGGGGGGGGCAGCAGCGCAGCAGTGAGCAACACTGCCCTGTGAACCCGGGGCCATGAAATTAAATGTCCCAGCCACGAGTTAACACCAGCGGTGAGCCCGACCTGAACTGGTCCATGCCCCCTCCTCCGCTTTGCATCTTGCTTCTCACCGACACGCAAACACACACGAACGTCCACCAACGTTGGTCCAACACACAGCGAACGTCAGCCGACGTCCAAACTTCAACAAACGTTGGTCTCTTTACGTGTTAAGCCTCATTGCAATTACGACACTGCGCATACCCTATGGGAACCTCATTTGCCAGTAAAAATATGATAATTGGTTCTTTACCCTTCTATCTGGCAACAAAACTGACACCTTTTTTTACAAGGAGTCATGTTTGCATAGACCGCAATACCTGCAGTCATAATACAAACAAAAGAACATAACTCTGATACTGTGCACTGTCCTTGAAGTTGATTGGTCCACACCCGAGACAGCTTTCCTTAGAGCCTAGTCTCATATGGGTTGGACCAGATGACGCCAAAAGGCGCACAACTCAAAGACAATGCACCATCAGAGTATGAGAGCTCGGGGTAAGCATCTACACTATGGGGACCTCATTTGCCAGTAAAAATATGATAATTGGTTCTTTACCCTTCTATCTGGCAACAAAACTGACACCTTTTTTACAAGGAGTCATGTTTGCATAGACCGCAATACCTGCAGTCATAATACAAACAAAAGAACATAACTCTGATACTGTGCACTGTCCTTGAAGTTGATTGGTCCACACCCGAGACAGCTTTCCTTACAGCCTAGTCTCATATGGGTTGGACCAGATGACGCCAAAAGGCGCACAACTCAAAGACAATGCACCATCAGAGTGGCGTCATCTGGTCCAACCCATATGAGACTAGGCTCTAAGGAAAGCTGTCTCGGGTGTGGACCAATCAACTTCAAGGACAGTGCACAGTATCAGAGTTATGTTCTTTTGTTTGTATTATGACTGCAGGTATTGCGGTCTATGCAAACATGACTCCTTGTAAAAAAGGTGTCAGTTTTGTTGCCAGATAGAAGGGTAAAGAACCAATTATCACTGCGCATACCGTTGCGGTGAACCACATCGCGCTGCCGTTGTGATTGCAGTATCCACGTTGACATTCATGAAGCGGTGTCTGGCGGTTATTAACCCGGCGGGCCTGAGTTTGATTCCTGGCCATGGCTAACAACCGACTCTGTGGCTGTGACACAGACGTAGGGTCCCCCCATCACCACCAACCCGCATTGCCCAGCTCGGTGAAGAAGCATGGTCAAAGAGCCCCCCCCCCTGTGACCGATACGGCGCGGCGCGGGGGGGGGGGGGCTTGAACCAGCAGTGGACTGACAAAGGGCTGTACGATTATAATGAATGCGAGAGGTCCGGGCCACAGAGAGAGCGAGCGAACGGAGGGGGGGCTACGTTCCCCTCCCTGCCTCTGCCCCATGCCCTGCCCCTCTGCTCGGTTTTCCCGAAGGAGGCCTCTGTCTCTCTGTGTGTGTGTCTTGCCGCGTAGTGATTCCCATGGGAGCTCACCATGACGCGATCGCGTGTGGGGGTCATGACCAGGGTTACCTCCCGTCCTGGTTTGCCCAGGATCGTCCTCTGTTTGCGGTAACCGTCTTTGAGACTCTGTCAATCTTCCTGGGGCATTAGGAGTCTTGTATTTTTTTTTGTCAGTTGTACAATAATACACAATAACACACCACTAAAACAACCACGTGTTGGTTGTTTCTACCTCGGAGGTGGCAATCCCCTAGTCTTGCGATTCAATGGCTTGAAAGTGGTGGTTGGTTGATCAGGAAATAATTCAACCATTTAAGGACATGAGGCTTCCACCATCAAATGAATGAGGCGATGCCCATAGAAAGATAGTACAACAAGTAGCTACTGACCTATCTGAGCAAAGTTTGAGTGATATCCACCTACGTACAGATTCACTTTGGAACTAGTGTATTCTTACTTATATATTTTTTTTAAACAGACATTGATCAATCATCTTTAACAATGACCCATCTATAAGACCTGACTGCTGATGAAAGTCAGCAGAAACAAGTTTTACCAAGGCATCCTACATTAATAACAATACAAATTAAAAACATTAATCTATTTCACGTCCCTTGATGATGTGTTAGTCACACCACTTATATGTGCAGTATCTTGCCATGTAGTGAAAATACATTTAATCTTTTTTGTATTTTGTATTTGGGTCTCGATTTGTGAGAGCTTTGATGACTGCATTGATTTAAACTGAGTCTAGAGATTCGAGTGCACTCATAAATTAATTTACAATCTCTTACGAATGATTTTAGATGCTATGCAACTTCAAGTTGTCGTGATTTCTGGACAATAGAATTAGGGAAATGTGCACGCCCTCTCACCTCTGACCCCGCCTCTGCTCCATCGCTCTTCTTGTCATCCTTCCCCGTGAAGAACCGCTCCACCTTCTCTATGAACGTGAGGTCCTCCTCGCCCTCATTCTTCTCTTCCTTCCCCTTTGCTTCATCCGCACCGCCACTCTTGGGAGCGGATACGGCGGCTTCACCTTTACTCGCGGGGGTCACGGCTTTGCCCGTGGAGACTCCATCTTTGCCCATGGAGACTCCATCTTTGCCCGTGGAGACTCCATCTTTGCCTGTGGAGACTCCATCTTTGCCCGTGGAGACTCCATCTTTGCCTGTGGAGACTCCATCTTTGCCCGTGGAGACTCCATCTTTGCCTGTGGAGACTCCATCTTTGCCTGGGGTGACTCCATCTTTGCCTGGGGTGACTCCATCTTTGCCCGTGGAGACTCCATCTTTGCCTGGGGTGACTCCATCTTTGCCCGTGGAGACTCCATCTTTGCCCGTGGAGACTCCATCTTTGCCTGTGGAGACTCCATCTTTGCCCGTGGAGACTCCATCTTTGCCCGTGGAGACTCCATCTTTGCCTGTGGAGACTCCATCTTTGCCTGTGGAGACTCCATCTTTGCATGGGGTGACTCCATCTTTGCCTGGAGAGACTCCATCTTTGCCCGTGGAGACTCCATCTTTGCCCGTGGAGGCTACTTCATCTTTGCCTGTGGAGACTCCATCTTTGCCCACGGGGGCCGTGCCTTTGCCCTGCACCGGGGCCTCCAGCGAGTCATTGCTCTGCTTCACGACTGCCACCTCCTCCTGTGCCACCGGCCTGGCTGCCTCCTCCAGCTCCGACGCCTGCTGGGGAAGCATGGACAGAGAGTAACATTGACAATGACATAACAAACAGTGCAAGCAGAGGATGTGTGTTCACTGCAAACAAATGGGCAGGCAGCCCTGTCGGTGTGTCTGTAACTGGGCAGGACTGCTGTAGGAAGCTTTCGTGCTGAAAAAGAGCACAAAGCCAGATGATAATTTAATAAGGATGATGACTGCTTTATTGATGATGAATGTTTATTGAAGATGCGATTGATTAGCCAAGATGATTATTTATTAATCATGGTGACTTCTTATTGATGATGCTCTTTCAATAAAACCATACATTACGAAGCATGGGCACCAGCTGCAGAAACCCACATTGCTATTGCCAGCTGCGCTATGTCGCTATGTCTCACCAGCAGCGTTCTGTACAAGAACCTCCACAGAGCAAACAAAGCGTCCACTGCCGCATTCTTAACCTCTTACCTTCGTCTCCTTGCCGTTGGCCCGCGGAGGAGGAGGAGCATTCTCCATCGAGGCTCTTGCAGCTGAGGATTTCTCAACTTCCCCAACGGCCTTTGCCCCGTCCACAACAGCCCTATCTGCAGACGAGCCCGACTTCCTACTCTCATCCGAGGTCGACCGCTGATCACCGCGACCCTTCGAGTCCCCGTCGTCCTCCGCCGAGGAGCCCTCGTCGTCTCCTTCCGGCACTGACGCCGGGTCGAATGACTCCGAGGGCCGTCCATTGAAGGTGTTGTCGGAGCGCGCCGGGGCGTCGCGGGAGAAGAGACGCTTGTAGAACGACCCAGGTGGCTTGGCATCGGGGGCAGCGTTGGCCGCGGCGGCCGTCTGCCCGACGATCGGCACATCCGCGCTCTTCCCCTGTGGGCCCCGTTTGGGGTCGGAGTCGTTCGCTGACGCCGCGTCTGTCAACAAAACACGCAGGGCGACATCTGAATTGGTGGACTCGCAGGGGGAATATAGGAAGATTTGGTCTCCCTTTGTTGACTGGCTATTGATTCGATCCGCTCATCCCCGCTGGGTACTTAACCACCTGTCAATCTCTTCTTTTTCTCTCTCTGCTCTATCTCCATTGCTCCATTGCCCTCCCTTTCATTTCACTTGGTTTACTATTTCCCTTGTTCCCTCGATCACAGCTAGGGGCACCTATTGTTCAGTATGTTTACCCTCGATGTGGTGTATTCTGGCTTTTTTCTCGTGGTATATGTTGCTGTGGTTGTTGTTGAAAATACAAATAAATACATTGAAAGGAGTGAACTCACCCACTGCCAGTGAGGAGTTGAGTGATGATAAGGTAGTGCAGCGGCTTCAGGGGCTGTAGGCCAAAGCCTCGGAGTTTGAGGGCCCCCCAATATATACACATACTGCTCTATAGCGGTTCAAATGCAATACTTGAGCACTATCATAAATCATATGTAGGATGACTTCGTCATTACAGCCATGGCATCAGGGTCTGTTACTGCCAGTCATGTGCCAAAATTAAAGCGGTCAGGTTCATCTTAACTTTGATTCACATTTTCAAAAAAAACATTTGACCTGAAATAAACCAAGATGGGTATTAATGGAGTATTTATCAGAGGTGGGACAAAGTCATTGTTATGCAAGTCCAAGTCGAGTCTGAAGTCATCAAATTCATGACTCGAGTCTGACTCGAGTCCAAGTCACATGACTCGAGTCCACACCTCAGAGGTGGGACAAAGTCATTGTTATGCAAGTCCAAGTCGAGTCTGAAGTCATCAAATTCATGACTCGAGTCTGACTCGAGTCCAAGTCACATGACTCGAGTCCACACCTCTGGTATTTAGTAGCGTGAGTGGTGGTAAAACATTAAAGGGAATTAACTGAAGGTATTACGGCCCCAGGCCATGATAAAACTCACTCCAGCCCTTACCATAGAGTAGAGGCACTCACTGAGACGAATGATTATTTGTTCTGGCCTGGTGTAAGGGTAAGCGTGCTGTTTTTGCCATTTTGTGCAGTGCACACCCGGCTGTGTTGTGGCCCCGATTTCTCACCAGGTGACCTGGCATTCGTCAAACACACGATCAAGTGCAGCTGGTAGACAGATTGCTCTCTCACGGGACCATGAGGTATGGTGATGACTTGGGGATGCCTTCATACAGCGGTAGACCGATCGTGGCCGATGACGTTGATGGTAACGATCATGACATTGCTGACATTATTAATTGGGTCCTTAATCTGTATTTTCTCTTTAGCTTTGGGTCCTTGAAATGCAAAACGAAACCGATTCACTCTCGCGCGATGCACGCATTATAATTCGAATTTGTGCCGTATATATTAAAATGTACTCATCGGGAAGGGGGAAAAAAAGAAGACATTTTTGTTTTGGTTGGCCCTCGCCTCATTATAAATTAACACATTTATTCATTCCATCCTCCCTTGGCCTATGAATGCTTACACTGACGCCTGTCAAAAGCTTCCCGTTTCGTTTCGCTCGAGCAAGGGTCGACAACCTGTGCCGCCGGAGCTGCATGCGGGAAGTCGTTTAAAAGAATTCGTACATTTGAAAGATAATTTAATGCAAAGATAATAAACAATTGATTAAATAGGCAGGGAATGGGTCACTACGGAATGTCTCGGTGACAACAAAATGTACCGTCAAAGTGTATTGTATAAAAAATAAACTAAAGGAGGAGGAAAAAATAGACGCAGTTTATTCCATCACCTATTGTGTTTATTGAAGTCAGAATTTGTTTGTCATCTGCCATACACCTGCGGTGTTTGTGTACAAGTCGCTCTGCGGGTGATGCGGCTCTCAAACTATTTTGGTCAAAGACAAAAAAAAACAAAAAATGGCTCTTCTTCTTTGAAGGTTTGCCGACCCCTGTGCCAGAGTGACCACCGCTCAGCATCCACGCGTTGTGCACACGACTGGACCACCTAGTAGTCCATGAGGCCAGAGCAGGCATATTGTATTGAGCTCGTCGGTACCATCAGAGGTAGCGTGGCATTCGAGCGACACAATTTACTTACGTGACCAACAACAACGGATTGCGCGATAACCATTTAAAACGAGTCGGTTACCAAATAATTCAGCAGTATTAGCCGTTCGTGAATACATCGGCGCCACTCAAGTATTCCTACTTTAGCTGGTACCAATTGCTGCACTGACCCAGGGACTAACATGGGCCAGTGCTGAGTCTTAAAGCCAGCAGCAGCAGCAGCTGCACGGGACTGAGAAAACAAAAGAGGGCTGGTGAGATTTACATTTTAAGCGCTGTTCTGCTTCCACGGGCAACCAGACCGGACATTGGATTTAGAAACTTCCCAAGTGGGAGGAGGGAGAGAGATTAAGGTGGGGGAGTGGAGGAGGGGAGGGGGGTTCCGAAATTTCAAGCTTTTCGGGATCTCAAGTTTGGGGGCAAATGCCCCCCAAACCTTCCACTGCATCCTGATAATATGACGTGCACTACATGCGGCTTTCTGGTAAAAAGTACAAAGTTGCATGCAAGTGGCCATCACATATCAGCTCACAGTGCAGTGTTTATGCACGGTGTAATAACGGTCATTTTCTGTAGATGTTCGCAAATACAACCTTTTCACATGTCTGCCTGTGCCTCAGACTCGGATATGCGACGTTGTACTGCAGATTTATTTTACCCAGGTCAGGTGACACTGAGACAGGAGGTGTCCCCTGCAAGGGAGATGATCTGGAGTGAATCCGAAGTTCGTTGCGTACGAAAAACGTCCGGACCTTTTGTCAACCCGCTGCTTGACGGTTTGCCTACCGTAAGCTGTGTAGGTCGTGGGGCTTGTTGGAACGGGGATGAATGCACACTTTCACGATTAATGGGAGAATCCGGCATTTAATGCATAGGCTCACAATTTTACATTCTGCACATTTGCTGCCGCTTTCAGGCAATCAATCGGACAATGCTGGGCTAACACACTTCACAAGTGGAATTTCTTGACGTCTTTTTGAACCGCTCGCTCATGCAAGTAGCAGCAGCAGCAAAGATAAGCCAGCTCTCTCTCTCTGCCTGCGCGTAGCTTCAATAACACGCGCACAGGGAACTAAACACAAACAAACACAGCCTTTCTGACAAATAATCACTGGCTTTGGCTTCCAAGAATTCTTGGCTGTGTTTATTTCTTTATTTATCACTCCACCAAGAAGGGGGGTGCATCGCTGCGTTTTATGTTGGGAAATGAGAAACGCACGCCAGAAAAAATGACGAATGCAAAAACAAAAGAACAAAAGCCAAGTCACGAAAAGGGATCAGCCCTCCCCATGGTAAGGATTTCATACGTGTAGAAAAAACACCACGTTATGTAAAACACGCAAGCCCTGTAAGAGGTGTAATGTCACGGTGGCTGTGTTAAAACAAAGACACAATTGGGGGTAGAAAAATTGGCATCCTCTCTTTCGTTAGAAAAGATACCTCGGAGTAGCAACATCAACACACAAGAATGTTCGCAGCAAAAATAGGAGGAACAGCAAGGCGCGAAGGTTTGACCGAAGCAACAAACCATAGTAGTGGACAAACAGTGATGGAGGGCGTTCATTAGGCCCTATTGTTGCTCTTCGGGGGTTGGGTTTGGGTGATGGGGGGAATCGGGAAGCCACTGAATCTCAATGAGCTTCCCACTCGGGCTTATGAACCGGTGAGTAGCGGATGTCATGAGTTTATTAACCGGGTGAGTAGCGGATTTCATGAGCTTATGAACCGGGTGAGTAGCAGATGTCAGGTTTACTTGATGAGTGGTGAGCGTCGTGTGAGAACACGTTATCTCATCCGTACGATGGGCTGCCACATTCGTTGTTTTTTTTTTAACAATATTCTCTGGATTATAAGAGGCTCCAGGAAAAGAAAAAGACGCACCCATAATTTGTGACTGGCGTCAGTAGCGTTACACAACTCAGATTTGCTTTCATACACAGGGGGGGAAGTGCGTCGTATTATAATAACAGAAAAACAGACGAGTGTCAATATGTGAGCATCACATCATGCTGCAAATACAACCGGCTACCCACGAGGTTTACATTTGCAGGGTTTGTCGATCATCGTGCAATGGAAACTGGTGCAAAGTTTACTTGGCTTGAATCATTGCTGCTGAAATTGTGGACTCCCAGAAGGCCGTACAGTCGATGCGTTGTGCAATAAATACAATAAATACTTAAATTTAAGTAGCTTGCACCCCCACACACAATTACACAATCACACACACTTACACATTTGTTTGAAACGTTACTGATCCATGTGAAGGGGGCACATAACCGTCCGCCTGTCCATTTCGCTGCACCGCGTGCATTCCGCACGACGACGCTGAACGACTATTCCGCGCGATCGCTTTCTTTGCCCGTTCCGGATTCACCTTCTTCGACGGACTCGAGGTCGTACGACTCGGAGGGCCTGTTCTTGAAAGTGTTGTCGTCACGCTCGGGGGCGTCGCGGGAGAAGAGCCGCTTGAAGAGAGGAGGGGAGCGTTCGGCGGGGACGGGCGCAGCGCCGTCTGCCTTGTCGACGACGCACGGGGACTCGGGGCCGGCGACCCCTACGAGGCGACACCGCACACCGAAAGGGAATTCACACTCCCGGGGGGCCAACGCTGTGGGAACTCTGCGCTTCAGGCACATTGCTCACCACTCGAACCGCTTGTTGTCGGGACGCTGTGCCCGACAAATGGTTAGAATGGTTTTCACGCTGGACTCGATTATCTTGGTTATCTAGAGGTCGCACGTTTGATTCGATCTCGCGGTGCGCCAGTCATAACGCCGGTCATCCTCGCCGCAGCAGCTTTTGGCTAACCATCCGAACAAAGACGGCCACTGCATCGCGCGCTGTCAGATGCGCTTCTGCGGCCGTCTGGAATGCTCTTCCTTCCGATATTAGGCAGCCACTGGAGCTATGCACTTTTAAATATAGATGTATTTCTTTAGAACTGCGTTTTTGCGTTCAGTTTGTTGTCCATCTCCAATTGGCACGGTTGGCTACGTACGGTGCTAAAGAAGTTCAGCATACATACGTACAGTTGAAACAATGGGGCAAGTTAATTAATCCCCGCCCCCCCACCCCGCACCTCTGCCCAGCGAGCAGTATAAATGGGTACGTCGACCGGCAGGTCCCGCACAATGGATTCAAAGTGTGGGTCGCCCACCTCTTCGAAGATGTCGGCCAACGATGGAAGAGTAGGCCCAAATATCCTCTTAGTGCGGGATCTCTAGGGGTTGCCCTCTAATAATTATAGAGGCCCTGCTGCCCGCGGTGGTGTGAGCGAGCAATTGCGGGGGCTGCACCTTGACGTTCAGATGTTCGCTCTCTGGCTGCTCTGCCTTGCCGAAGGGACACGGGGGGGAGGGGGGGGAGGCACGCGCGTGACGACGCATTGATGCAACAGTTCGATTCGATTCTCTCGCTCACGATGGATGACGATGCAACATATTCACGTTGCGCCAGAATCGGGTTGCTTTCAACCGATGCAAATTAGACGCTAATGTCACATTTTCGGCGAACAAAACTTGTAAAAACGTGATGGGGGAAAAAATGAGCATTGAGCATGCGAACGGGAATGCTACGGATGAGACGGGGAAAAAAACTATCGAATGTTGAGTTGATTTGCCAGGGGATCGTGACGATTATCGGGTCTCTGGGGCAAGGTGGGGGGTGGGGGGTCATCATAATTAGTGGCCTCTCAGCTGGTTGTAATTAAATGACACTGTATTACTATAGTCACAAAATAAATGATAGGGAATTAAATATGATAATCGAAATTCCAAATGATTTTCATTTAAGTTCCTAAATTCCTTTGAAAGCAGCAATGTTTATAATTGAAAATTAGATAAATAAGTGCATTTTATGGGCTTTAAGGATTAGGGTTTAAGGATGAAGGCTTTCAGGTTAAAGTTTTAGGATTTTGGGATCAAGGGTTAAAGGTTGGGGTTTAGCATTCATGGTTAAACAATTGTTTAAGAGGGGAGTGGTGGCACAGCGGTTTGCACACTGCGCTGTGAATTCGGTAGCCCGAGATTCATTCCCAACCGTGGCTAACATCCGTGATGAATCTGAATCAGAATCTTTATTTATCCTGGAGAAATCCGATGAGCTATCAAGCTCTTGTTCAGCAAGACACACTGACGAGCGCGGTCAAGAATCGTTGAACACTGGCACAGCGTGCAGAGGTCGTCATCCAGCAGTGGAGTGAAAGAGGGCTGTGATTGTGCGTTTGTTATTTATTTCAGGCTCACGATGAGACAGTGCTGTCCTTTACAGAGACAAGCCCCTGTCATAAGGATATGAAATTTCCATCACTGTCAAAGTGAGTTCGTTTGAGAATGGGAGAATTGAGCTTGCACAAATGCTCAAACTCCTTTTGCGACGATGATTAGCGAGCTGTTTTAACGGATCGTTATTCAAGGTTTGAAGTGAGATGGCGAAGTATTGTGATTGGTTTAGAAGTTTGGCATTGCAGTGCAGTGTGTTATAACAGATGTTATAGGCTGCAGGGCAGTGCGGCAAAAATCCGACGTTGTACTCTACTTCTATGCTTGCACATCTTCTCCAACTCGGCGCTGATCAGGGCGGTGAAACTTGGTAAAAGTGAGGGCATGGACAGCCCCTGATCCAGCAGTGGATTGATAAAATGAATGTATATGTCCATGCGTAAGTTAATACAAACTGATATTTTTTTTCAGAATTAACAAATTCCGATCTCCAATCCTAAATCCCTATTACACACAGTAGGAAAGTTAATCTTCTCCGTTGAGCGTTGACAGAGCAAAGCTGCAAGTGTTAGCAGCTGAGCGTTGGCGATCTCACACACACGCAGGCAGGCAGAGCCTTCACGTTCAACCAGGGAAGAACCTATCCAGACCAACAGTCTCTTTGCCAACGGGTGACGCGGGTTACGAGGCAAAACGCGAATAAACGCAACTGCACAAATAATCAACTGAAAGCATCTCTCCTCCGCCCCTCCGCTCACCAGGCGCATCCCTGGAGAAGAGTCGCAGGGGCGGCTTGCGCGTCGCCGTGCCCTTCCCAGTTGTTCCGGCAGGCTGACCCTCGGCGACCCCGGGCTCTGACCCCGGCAGCTTGCCCCCCGCCTTCCCGGAACCGTCATCCAGCACCTGCGCGGCGAGCGCCTGCGTGCGGTGCAGCAGCTTCTTCCCTTCCTCGGTGGAGGGGTCGACGAACACGCTGCCGTTGTCATCATCCGAGAGGACCTTTCCTTTCTTCGCTCCGCCGCCATCGCCGCCGCTGCCGGATCCCACCTGCTCGCCGCGCGGACGCACAAGGCGGGACGGCGCGGAGGTGTCACAAGAGTCTCACGGCGGAGCGATACGACGATCGAACAAAAGTCGGCCGCTACGCCCGCGATGCGTGCGCCGAGACGTGAGTATCTCGGTCGTTTTGCGCTCGTGTAAGCCATGTGCGGCGCAAGTGGTGAACGCACCGCGCTTACAGACCCTGGTGACCCGAGTTCAATTCTCAGCCATGGTTAGCACGGCTAGCAACATCGGTGGCGAGTGATATCTCAACTGCTCCTGGGCCCTCCTGCCCCCCCCCCCCACACCTCCGCACGCTCCCCACACTTCACCGACCCACAATGACCAAGCCTGGTGAAGTATGGTCAAACAACAGCGTGGGAACGCCTTCATCTGATCAGTAGATTGATGAACGGCTCTAAGTTGCGTATTATTTCAAAAATGTATAAGCTCTGTTGTGTATATCGCATAATACTTTTTTTATAAAAGAAGAGACAGTCATAGCCAACGGAAGGTCTTGAACCTGGACTTTGAGAGATGACAGCACAGACGGCCGTGACACGATTGTGGAATGGGAGTTATTCTGTATGCGTGGGAGTTCTCTGGTGTCCAGGCACATGCAGGCGAAGGTCTTGCAAACTCAGTAGCGCTTATGTTGACAGTCTACAACAGCTAATGGGGAGGTAGTTTGCACGTGTGCTTATGTGTCTTTGTCTTCGGAGAGTGCCCATGCCCGGCTTCAGCTTGGTAGCATCTCACTCTGAACCAATCGAGTGGCGTTATCGTTTCATCGGCTGCGTAACGCCATGTGGAAGCTGCCTGACCTTGTCGCTCCACACAAAGCTCTATGTTTTATCCGCCACAGTTACACATTTTATTCTATATGCTTGCAAACTCTGCATCCCCTTTACAGGAACATCTGCAGCGGCTTGCAACTTTCATGCTGGCTTGCCAACGATCCATCCTGGAATTAACCAGACTGGATTTTATGAATTCACAAATCCATGAAAGGTGTGTACACAGTCTCATCAGTGGACCCCTCCGGTTGCATTGACTGAGTCATGTAGCCTGCATACCCAAGCAGTTTGCCTCTGAGTGGATAGAGGGGGCTAAACAGCTATGATACGTGCTAGATAAGAGATGGGCTGATTTGGAAGATGAGTGGACTCGTCTGCAACAGTTATGTGAAGATCGGTCTCTGTGGTGGAGGCTCATGAAGGATGCTACTGGGCAGCTGGATGGCAGCCGCCCTCCTGCAGCAATGAAGGGTGGAAAAGCGACGTGCCCAATAACGAGTGGCACACCAACTGGCTAAGATAGATACAGCAAGTTGGCACAGTGGGGAGTACAGGCGGTGCATTTACCGGTCATCTCGGTTCACCCTTATCGCCTAGATTTGCGCTTTGATGCATGGAATTTCTTTTGTTTCCACCCACAAGCCAGCGAGCACTCGGTACTCCACATGGCCTGAAAACACACCAAGTTTCACACGGGAGCTCAGGTGATGTTATTGCCACTTAGGGGGGCTGTTGTTGTTGGAGGGGTGGCGCTGTATTTTATGGACTGCGCTGTTAACTTAGCACCCTGAGGTTCATTCCGGAGCACAGCTAACTTAAGTGGCAAGTGGTTTCAGAAACTCTTCTGGGCCTGGCCTAGGTCGACTCAGCCTTAAATAAGCACCCAGTTAGGCATGTTAACGTCAGCACTGGGAAGACAAAGGTGTGGCACCGGTTACACCACTCACTCATACGCAATTCTGGTCTGAATAGGTGCTCGCAAATGGCACTTGCCCAACATTCTATCTACAATCTATCTTTAATCTCTCTACAAGGACAACCATGTATCTACACGTACAAAGAGTGCTTGCTGTGTACAAGCGAGGAGCAAAGTCCAGTGGGATAAAATGTGTTTTGGTTGAGCAAGTTGGGTTGGAATCTGTGTCCTTGGCCATGCAGAGAAAGTAAGATGTTCACTTTAGGGGTCAGGTCATTGCACCACTGGCTACACTGCAATGGCGCAGTGATTGTGATTTAAGCCGCTGAGAGTTGGCCCTTTAAATATGTACGCGCCCATTGTTCGGCCGAAGCCGAGGGCCGAGACTGTGCTTGTTTTTTGCCTCTGATCACCGCCGGTCATGAAGTTGGGAAGGAGACGATCGATCGCGACGAAGCGACGGCAAAAGCAGCAGCCGCTGTGAACCCCAAACGCCTCGAGAACCTCGCCAATCACCGCTCGCGTCCGAGACACTTTGTCCTCATTAACCAGCAACGCTGGACATAGATTATGGATGATAATGATGTTCCGTCTCGAGCTTTTCTATGCCCAAGACGATTACTGGTGAGTGAAATCGAAGTGGCTGTCCGCCAGGGGTTCTGGGTTGCACGCGCTGCGCCATCGGTGACGAGAGCACAGACGCAGCAACGACCCCGCAGGGCCAGGGCCCCCTCTGGCCTCATGGATCAAAGGCCCACCTTGGGCCAACATAACTTTGGCCCAAGGTCCAGGGGCTGGGCTACACAGAGGGGGCGAAATTGTTAAAGGAGGCTCCATTTTTAGACTGTTGGGGCAAGTGATGGTAGCGAACACCTGTGAAGGCCGGCACGGCACATGAGGGGATGGGTGGCCAGCACCACGCACGGCCGCCTTTGTGTCCCTCGTGGCGATGTTTACACATCGCACCATGTACCCATTTGAGGCTGGGTCGACCTAAGGGAGGCCCAGGACTGGTTCAGATAATCGTGGCCGGTGTTGGCCACGAGCGGGAATCGAGTTCGGGTCGCCCCGAATTTTTGTAGCACGGCGCGCTAAACCGCCACAGTACCGCTCCCCGCACACATACCCACGTACATTGCCACACACACACACATGCAGGAGTGCGTGGGTGATGAGAGAATTCTGAGATGTGATCTGGTTTGTTTGGGACCACGATGGGTCTCTCTTGACCTGCGCCCGTGTTGCCGTCAGTCAAGTGTCACGGTTGCTTAGCTCGGCGAGTTGAATGCGATCTCTCTCACACGTTGCATACCAAGTCAACATGCAATGGCTGGGCCAACGTTAATAGGCCAACGTCCCACGTTGACTGCGTTGTGATCTCACACGGCAGGCAGCCGAGGAGTTGTGGGGAAATGGAACACGGAAGTTACCGGGGGAGTGGTGATATTTCTCAATACATTTTGGAGGAAAACATTAAAACCGACACACAAACCAACACACCGCACACACACAGATATATACACCCACACACGCACAATCATGCACACAGAGATCCCTCACATAGCCTGAACAGACTGTTGGAGCCAGTGCTGTGAGCGAACACCTAAGAAGGCTGGCATGGCACACGCGGGGGTGGGTAGCCAGCACCACGCCCGACCGCCTTTGTCTCCCCAGTGACGATGTTTACTGCACACTGGACCAGGTTACTCATCAGGCCCCATGACGGGTTCAAATAATCGTCACTGGTGTTGCCCATGAACGGGAGTCAAACTTGGGTGGCCCTCTTCTGAGCGCAGTGCGCTAACCGCTGCGCCACCGCTCCCCATGCACACACACGTATATGACCACAAAAGTATACACACACATGGGTTCACTGCAACGCACACGAACTCAAGAACACACCCATACACGGAAGTGAAAATACAAGCGCGCGCACACGTGAACACACAATCGAGTGAACTGAAGCACAAACCCATACACAAGTAAAAACACAACCACACACCCATACACACATGTGAACACACAACCACGCACACACACGTGAACACAGCCACGCACACAGTCAATCACTGCCCAAACGAAACTTCTAGACGACTCACCCGCCCATCAAAACAAGCAATGGGTCAAACCAACTCAACAATCAGGGGGGAATCAGATCCTGTTGGGCATAGTTATTTTCTCTATACGTCATTTAATAAATACCCCACTGTCCTTATTAACATCGTCTTTGACGTCGGGAAATATCGTAGTGTATGTGTGCTTGGTTCGTGTGTGCTGGTATGTAAGTGAATGCATTAATTAAAAAAAACTAATGATAAAATGTTCCCTCCACGCGTTGTGGTTTAGCCCAGGTCCAATGAGGTGACGCAACTCGTGGCAATGTCGCTTTCATATTGACACAAACAGGTCTGATGACGATTAATATCAACCATTCTGGTATGGTTCCCATGCCGCACCCAGCACAGCGACTTTAATCACTAATAACCTAAGACGAAAAAATCTGCAGCACCCAAAAAATACCCCGAGGACATTAAAATCGCAATTTAACAACATTATTATTTCTGGTTCTGCTGCTGCTTGCGTTCGCAGTGGTCCGCAACCACAATTGATTTAATAATAAAAACAAACCTCAAACACATTCGTTAATAACATCGTGGCCTATAAAGGAAAGAAATAGAATAGGTTACATTTTGGCCAATGGCTATGTTTTTCTTCGCACATGGAGCAGACACGGAGTGATCTCTCTCGCTACTTTTGTATGTGCTACGGAGAAAGGCCAGTGACCCGAAACGTTGCCTGTCATACAGCGTTCCTTGTTAAGGCCACGGTGTTATTGAAGAACGTGTTGAAACATTTTTTTAATACAAAATTGTATTTATAGCGCACCGTGTATTTGGGCCTGTTAAGTGCCCGCATTTGTGTTCAGTCTTTTATTTATTCGTCCACGGCTTTGCTTTGCATGATAGTCAGCGAGGTTCCTAGCCCGGGGGAGAGGGGGCGGTCTTATTTACGAGGAGAGGCGCATAGTTGAGGATGAGGCAGTGTTACTCAGGGATGCGGTGCTTCTTACATCCCCGCCTCCCACCCCCACTCGCCCTGACATTGCTGCTGCTGCCACCATTGCCAGCCTAGGGTTGCCACCCGTCCTGGTTTTCCCTGGATCGTCCCACTTGTTGAGGTGGCTGTTCTTGGAGATATATGAGTGTTCCTGGTACATTAAGTCCTTTGCGCACTAATACAGCCACACAAGGCAATGCATTTTCACGCTGTTCTCCTCCTCCTCTGGAAAAATGTGAGATATTAATGTTCTTCCCATGATACGTCCAGGTTTTTGTTTTATCTCAGAGGTGGCAACCTCAGCTGCAACCCTCGCATCAGCTCGGAGTTTATAAATAAAACCGCAGGCATGGGCTTTGGCAGCCGTGCAGAAGATGCAAGCTGGGCTTTGTAAGCCAGCAAGCAGTTGTCGATGGCACTGCTGGTGGTGAAGTCGTTTTGTCAACTGAATTCAAGTGCTTGCAAAATAATTCCGTTCCAAAAGCACCAACAGCACGTGGAGAAAAACGTCGGACATTGAGCAGGACAACACACGGTAGGTATGTATGTTGAACATCTTTCGCACCGCACGTAGCCAACCGTGCTAATTGGAGGTACAACCCAAACACACGTCGGGTGAGAGTTACACATAGTCCAGTGGTAGCGTGATCGCCACTCTTATGCAGGGGTGTGCGGTTCGAACATGTCAGGCCACCCTGGTTAACACTGCGGGTGTATTAACCATACGAATACGCACCCTTTGCTTCACAGTGGACGCTGCAGATCCCCTGACGTCATATGAAACAATTAGGGCATTGTGTGGCAGAGTCACGGTCCAAAATGACCACATTCGAAAAATTGCCCGCGAATTACTCAATTGGACTTCCGAATATCCGTCCACTGCAAAAATACTGCAGCCAGTGTCTGTGAAGCATAGCTCCTTTGTGATAGCCTCGCACTCTCAGAATGGATTACTATAACTTTATAGAACTGCAAAGTCTTATTTTTACTTGCCGCTGTGACCAAATGTATCATTGCAAAAAGCTACTGCTGCTGCTTGTTTGTGTTACGTCCAATGTATGGAGCTCAGATAACTGTGAAGTCTGCGTAAGAGGGCATGTCCAGTTCACAGGAGCGAAAAATGCGAATTTCCACTTGGCGATTTGAATGGAATGAGTCAAGTGACCTCAGAACGTTTTGGCGAATGCTGATAAGTGAAAAAAAAATGTCCGCAACCTCCTTCAAACCCCGAACTCCCTGGACTCAACAGCCACCCACAGTGTCACCCAAAACCACCTCCCCCCAAACACCCACTTCACCGCGTCCACATCACCGGGGTTTTTTTCCAGTTTAGAAGTTCAATCTCTAGATATAGAGATTGATAGATTTTTTTTCTTCAGAGAAATGTATTTTTAGTTGCCGAGGATTGCGTTAGAGTTGGAGGTTTGGGAACGATTTTCTCTGCAGAGTTTGTTTTTTCTGACCACACAGAAAGAACGGTTCAAACGGTGCAGCCTCGCTTGCCAGAAGCTCTTCTGCAGGGGCACCATTATCGTTTGAAAGCAATAGTTTGAAAACTCAGTCGGACTTTTGCCCAAACAAAATTCCCAAGTACTTTCCCCAAGCTGTGTGTAGGTTTTTACTTTTTAAACTTTTCATTCGCTCAGATGGTCCTCAGCTAAAACAACTCAAATTCCCTCCCACACACTGACCTTCTCTATCAGAGTTTCCAATGCTCGCTACAGGCACTCGAAAAGAATGGAAAGACAATTCACCCAGGCATGCCCAAACAAAATTCCCAAGTACTTTCCGCAAGCTGTGTGTACGTTTTTACTTTTTAAACTTTTCATTCGCTCAGATGGTCCTCAGCTAAAACAACTCAAATTCCCTCCCACACACTGACCTTCTCTATCAGAGTTTCCAATGCTCGTTACAGACACTCGATAAAAATGGAAACACAAATCACCCAGGCGATTGTGTGGACTCGTAAGAGATGCCAGTGTCATCACCAGCAGCCATGATCTATCCACTGCTCGATGAAGGCCTCCTCACAAGCCATCATCTATCAAGGTCCTGCGATTCAACGATACATATTGCTCGTTTACACGAGCCTATTTCATAGCTTCATTAACCACGGTGGACGTCCTCTCAGCTGCGTTCCCTCCATTGGCTGTTATTCCATCGTTAATCTCGGCCGCTGGTCTATCATCCCTTCTCATGACGTCTCCCCCTCCCCCCCCAAGCCCATTCACCTTCATCAACAGCCCACATGGTGTCTATAACTTGCTTGTGTTCTCTAATCTATGTGTTCCTCTTCCCGTCTCTCAGTGATTTTTTTTCCAAGCATGCCCCTACCCGTGCTTCTTTATGGACTTTCCAGCTTTTGTTTCACATTCTTTGTCAATGTCTATGTTTCTGATCCATGTGTCATCGTAGATCATAGACGCTGGTTTTGGTTGTTTGAACTTATTTTTTTAGGCATGTGCTGCTGGGCTGCGAGGTCACTTGGAGATGGCAACTCTGCAAACTGGGTTCAAGAACCCATCTGTGTGGACCTTTGATTGTTTGTTATTCCCTCTTGCGCGTGGGCTTGCCTCTCAGAAGCAATCAGCCAAACATCCCATCGCAGGACCCTAATAAAGGAACTGAGCTTTGAGACTCATTCGCTCGGTGAGGCTTTCCTGGATGAACATTCGACACTATTAGGGGGCGCCACGGTGGCGAGATGTTAACTAGCTCGCCTGGTATACATGCAGTCATGGGTTCAATCCCGACCCTGACGCCTGTATATTTGGAGTTTGCATGTCTTTCTCCACGTGGTCATGTGGATTTTTCTCCGGGTTCTCCGGTTTTAGAAACATGTTTTTGAGAGTAATTGGCTGCTATATCATTTCCACGTGATAAGCCACTTCGTTGAGCTATCATTTGTGTCATGGTCGCTTCTGAAAAAGAGCTACATAGCTCAGTGGGCCTTACCTGCTCAAATAAAAAAGAGTTCAGTTTAACCCATAGGCATTCACGACCAATATTATCCATATTTTTTTGGGTTATCTCGTGTGAATATAAATGTGTCATTAAACCCACCACCACCCGTCACAGCCAATAGTAAGGTTTGTCAGGTAAACAAAACATGCCAATTCATTACTAGTACAGCACACCGGTGTGTTGGAGAGTAAACCCACAATATTTACTGTTGTTTACGTGACAAACCTTGCTAATTGGCTGTGTCGAGTGGTGGCGGGTTTACCGACACATTTATATTTACGCGATCTAACCCAAAAACCTCCATTGTGAAACATCGTTTAGTTGAATATTTTAGTTCAATTAGAATACATTTCAGATGCATGGGAACAACAACAACAACAAACTACAACTCGACTCAGTGCCAGAAACGCCACTCTCAAGGACTGCCCCAACAAACTCTCTGCCCGGATCGGTTGCGGCCCCCACCTGGGCGTCGTGGGTGCCGTTCAAGGGCGGCAGCTCCGAGTCAGTGAGGCTGGAGCGCTGCACATACGACTTGAGCTTGATCGTTCCGTCCAGGTCTTTATCCGGGGCTCCCGGTCCTTCGAACACCATATCCTCTGCCGCAGACTCCGTGTTTCCCATCGCTCCTCTTGTCCCGACTGCATTCAATGGAGGTTGAGGGTAGAGAGTTGACCAAAGCACAAGAATTTCGATTTATAGCTTTCGTGACTGCAGGGATTCATCTTCTTGGTTCTTTCGGTAAAGTCACGTAGAAGGGAACAGGTCTGTCTTCCCGACAGGTCTGTCTTCCCGACAGACCTGTTTTTCACCTGAGGACGGCTGCTTGCGTTGTGGCCGAAACTTCGTGAGAATTATTTTATTATGTTTTATTTATTTTATTTTATTATTTCCCTTCTACGTGACTTTACCGAAAGAATCAAAAAGATGAAAGCACAAGAAGTCACAGAGTCCCAGAATAGTGAATAATGGTGCATAGACACAGTCCAAACACGACTGCATAGGTTTTTGTGGTTGTGCTCTATCGCTCTGCGATGGGTCACGGATACACAAGTGAATTCAGTTCCTGAAGAAGCTCTCGGCACGTCGAGTGGAACGTCGGACATGATCCTGAACGACACGCGGTAGAACATGTGAACTCATCGGATAATAAAGAAATAAAAACGCGGCATATTCACCAATAAAGCAACGTGGTTACGCAAAAATGACAGGCGGCACAGCGTGCCACACTCTGAACCTGGTGACATGCGTTTGAAGCTCGGCCACGGCTGACACCAGTGTGAAGTGACCAGCGTGATGGTCAAACAACCCCTGTGACCAACACAGAATGGAGAGGACTTCACCCAGCAGTGAATTGACCAAGGGGTCTTTGAATTTTAAAAATGTCATTGTTCATTCTTCAGATAAAAACTATGAAGAATGGCCACTGGTTAATGGGTCATCCAATTACACGCCTTTCTTTCATAAGGAGGCAGCGTTAATGATGCAGGTGTGAGTTTTTAACGGTTTAAATTTTTGCAAAAGGGAGACTTGGGGTCAAATTAAAAGTCAAAGTAAGTTATCGCTCCAATCAGTGTGCGCTGCGGTATTTGTCTCCTATGCACAACCCTGAGCCAGCGCTGGATATTCCACATTCTTATGACAGGGTGATTCAACTCGCAGTGCAGCAGCTATTAACTTCCGGTAAAAGTGGCACTTTATTTAATCGATCCGAAGAATGGATTGAGACGACCTTGTGATTACGAGTCACACACATGAACCACACAGCAGAATATTGTACAGTAAAAATACAGGCAAAAAAATAAATTTACAAGACTAATTTGAAACGTCTTTTTTTACAAATATGTTATACAAAGGTAACAACTGTGAAGGATGTGCTAGATAAAGAAGAATGTGCTCAAATATATTGTAAAAAATAAATAGACATCAGCGGGAGAATTTGCCAAGCGCGTGCCACCCAGCGTAAATTACAGATTCTCAAAAAAGCCTTCGCCGTCTGCTAATTTCGGTAATTGTGGTAATTGTCTAAATTCGTCCCTCGTGGCAGACGTACAATGGGCCTGGCGCTGTGAAGTGAACAACACCCCGAGCCATTTTTTTTTATCATCCGCGTGCATTCGCTGATGGAGTCCTCATAATGATTGCTGTTGTTCAGGGCTCAGTGAGAATTCGCACCTGCCAGCGTGGCTTTATTCCACACAGAAGGTGCGCCTACCCGCAGGCTCCAAAGACAAGTGCTGCGAGCAAGCACCTATGAAGGCCAACACAGCACCCTGCCTGGTTGTCTTTGTCTTCCCAGTGCTGATGTCCACATACTGCACCAGGTCTACCTCGTGAAGGGCCCCTGACCAGTTCAGATATTCGGCACTGATTTTGGCTGTGAGCAGGAATTTAACTCGAGTCGACTGGGTTCTTAGCGCTAACCATTGCACCACCGCTCCCCTACCAGGCGATCCACACACTGTGATACGCATACCACGATGCTACCCAGTGACACACACGATGCTACCGAGGAACCAAAGACAAAGATCTTCGTGGGGTGGGGTGGGGCAACACCACATCCGGCCGCCTTTGTCTCCCCAGTGACGATATGTACATTTGAGGCTGACTCGACCTAGGGGAGCCACAGAACTGGTTCAGATAATCGTCACTGGTGTTGCCCGTGAGCGATAATCGAATTCGGTTCACTGGGTTCATAGAGCAGGGTGCTAACCACTGCACCATCGCTCCAAAGACAAAGATCCCCCGTATAACCTGCAGCAGACTGTTAAGGCAAGTGCAGTTAATGATCACCGATGGAGGCCGACACGGCACACGAGGGGTGGTCAACACTAAGCCCGTCTCCCCAGTGGCGATGTTTACACACCGCGCCAGGCACTCAGTGGAGACTGAGTCGACCTAGGGGACATTGCTGCAGTATTGTAACAAGATTATGACATTACCATTTGGAACTCTCACGGAAAGTGGTGTACCATCACCCCATGTTATAAAATAGTCCGTGGAAGGTGACATCATTGAACTACTTCTGAGGTCCTTTCAATATCCTCTTAGCCACACCTTATACATACTCGGTACGCCCTTACTAAAGACATCATCTGTGAGATGTGAGTCAAACCAAACACTTCATAACCCTTAGATGAGACTATCAACTTGAGAACTCGGTTTAATCACAGGTGGCTGAAACCTGGATTCCAACCCAGAATCTCAACATTCTGATACAGTATAGTCGTCCATGGCCCAGAGCAGAAACTGGTACTGCCTAAGAGATCGTAACTTCAATAGCACCGATATGTTTACGTGGCTAATAGAGAGTGAATGATTTGATAGCCCGATCATTTCAAATGGCTATCACGCAATGCACTGTGATTGAGCCACATCAAGAAATTGTAACCGCTGAAGCAGAGGTTGCAACCAGGTACCCGATACCCGGCTACCCGTTCCCGGCCGGGTACTGGTAGCCGTTTGCGACCCTGGTGCGGCAGGGTATGGGTACGGGTAGGCCGTGAGTCACTGGTGAGTAACCGTTTGTCACTCATTTCGGGTAGGGTACGGGTACGGGTAGGGAACGGGTACCCGTACCCGGCCGGGTACGGGTATGGATACGGGTACGGGTACCCATTTGCGACCCTGGTGCGGCCGGGTACGGGTACGGGTAAGGAATCAAAACCCGTTTGCGACCTCTGCGCTAAAGTGGTTGCCACCTCCGATGGCTGCGACAAGTGCAATATCTGGTCTCAGCTCATGGACTCATGGGCCCTCTGAGCCACATGGCCACCTAGATTTCCGGGGATGTATGCAACAGCCCCGTTGTTTATAGGCACGCTCCTGTAATGCATTAACGCACAAAACTATATGATGTTTTCGTGAATGATCACACCAACGTGGTGGGGCGATTACACTGTGGAGACATAATAAATGTGTGAGCGATGGCGAATTCAAACATTGTCTCATTGTTTAAAATGTATCCACCAGCGTGGGTGGCTGCGTATGTGCATAGTGTGGGGAAGCGGTAGCGTAACAGATATCACACTTGCACTTCGAACCCAGTCACCTGAGTTCGATTTCTACCTTGGAGTTAACATCAGTGACAAATATCGTCTGAATCTGGGCTGGCCCCTGCTCAGGTCGACTCTAATGAATGCTCGGTATGGTGATTTGATCAGCATGAGTATTCGTCCCATAACCTGCTCTGTGTTGTGACTTTAATCGGAGCTGGCAAATAACATTTCCCCAGCAACCCAATGTATATGGTGACATCGGCATGCACAGTATATATGGTGGGTGAACTTACTTCGCATCGTACGTAGCCAACCGTGCTAATCGGACGTGTGTGTGCGCGAAGGGAGCTCGAATATATTTTATTAAACAATACACAGCCTGGATATCACTCCCATTGAGTAAATAACTACGCTTGGCAGTTGTTCTAGGCTTCGGGGTAAGGGGAAGTAATGTGGAGGAGCTGTACGGTACTTCTATGCGCCCACATCTACGGGGCCGTCCATAAATGACGTCACGCGATTTTGGACGATTTATTTACCCCCCCCCCCTCGTCACACGGCGTCAGAAAAAGTCAGACCCCCCCCTGAAATATGACGTCACAAAGCTCTGCCCCCCCCGCCAAAATAAAACATGCTTCAAATCGCTTTAAACTATTGTCATTGTAGTGCGTATTTAATGTGACGCTGCACTCTGATGTTGTAGGAGAAAACATTTATTAAAAAGTCTATTTAATTAAGTAGAACGTGTTGTCTATTTTTATATAAAGTTGCGCATTTTGATGTGACGTCACATTTCTCAACCCCCCCCCCCCCTCGTCACACATCGTCACAAATGTCTGACCCCCCCCTCCCCAGGTGCGTGACGTCATTTATGGACGACCCCTACGCTCTGCGCCTTCACAACGCCGCACTGACCATCGAGGGGGTATTATGGTCAAATGGCCCCCTCCACCAAGGCCCACGTGAAATGTGGAGACCCTCATTTAGGCAGCAGATCGACCAAGTGGCTGCACTTGTACACGGATGAGAATTTGGCCAAACATCCCCGACGCAAGATGCTCCTGCGAAGCATTTTGAGACTCACTCCCAAGGGCTGTCAGACAGAGCGCCGCAAATTCTGTTGAGCCAGGTGAGATCTCGAGAGAGCCGGGAGGTCTTACATGCCTCATCGGTGACTTGGCTTTACACACACACACGTAAGGCAGCGTGCCCTTTCATATTTAGATGACCTCCCTCCCGCCCACTCTGCTGGAATGTATTTATCACCTTGCGAAACTATTCAGAAACATTCTACCCAGAAAAGTGGAAAGTTTAAATCACCACAGACACGCAGCACAGACGCATGCTCCACAGGTGACTCAGCTACGCCTATAAACGTGGACCAAACCTGGGTAGTCGGCTTATGAGTGCCGTGTCATAGTAATTATATTATTATCGGGTCACAGTAATTCTCAGAATTATGAGACACCCTGGAAAGTAAGACGCATCCCGCAACCCGGTCACACACACACTCACACAGACCCACCGGAACTTTTAGTTGAAGATACGAGAGTGGAGGGAGGGATTGCGTATTATCATAGATGCGTATACGGTTTGATTAAAACAACTTTGTTAATTAATTGCTGCCCGGTTGCGTATACTCAGTGCCGGATTATCCTAGAAGCACAAGTAGCTACACATGCTACGCTGCCCGCACTTTCAAGGGCCCCACGCTAAATGCTTTCAAGCCATCAATTCCGGTTCAGTGATTCTGCACCGCCTTCAACTTTTACGAACGACTGGGTGTTTAAGGTTAGCGATCTGTATTATCTGGCTGTGTAGCAAATGAAATCATACAATTACTTTACTATGCAAGTTAAACATTTGTGTTTTAATATTTAAATGTGTTTTTATTTTATTTAGGGCCCCTCTATAACATATGCTACAGACCGCGCACTATCTTAATCCGGCACTGTGCGTACTGTGTGGCATTTGCAGCACTTTTGTCAACCCACTGCTGGATGACTGGCTCCCAAGCCGTGCGTTGGGGGGGGGGTCATGGGGTTGTTTTGACCATACTTCACCAAGCTGGGCAGTGCGGGTTTGGCGATGGGTGGAAGGGTGTTGTGACAGCCACAGACGTAGGGTCGGTTCAGACGCCACTTGCCACTGATGTTAGCCGTGGGCGGGAATCAAACTCAGGTCCGCCGGGTTTAACAGCGACCAGTCACCACTCACACAACGGCAGCACTGTGCAGTTCACCACAACGGTGGCTTATACGCAGTGTCGCAATAGCAAAGAGGCCAACGTTGGTTGATGTTAGAACAACGTTCATTGCATGTTAACTGGGGTTTTATAAACACTTAAGAGACCCACGTAGACACAAAGACAAAGATCCCCCCATATAGACTCAGCAGACTTGGGTCAAGTGTTGTTAGCGAGCACTTACGAAGAAGGCCGGCACGGCACACGAGGGGGTGGTGTGGCCAACAAAACGCCCAGCCGCCTTTGTCTCCCCAGTGCTGACGTCTAATACGCACCGCGTCAGTGAACTCATTTGAGGCTGAGTCCACCTAGTGGAGGTCCAGGACCGGCTCAGATAATCGTCACTGTCGGGTCTGTGGCGCAGCGCGCTCACCACTGCGCCACCGCTCCGCGTTAACCACAGGGACACACACGCACTGGCAAAAAGACAAAGATCCCCCGTATAGCCTTAACAGACAGTTGGGGCAAGTGCTGTTAGGGAACACCTATGAAGGCCAGAACGGCCGCCTTTGTCTTCCTAGTGGCGATGTTTTTACGCACCGCAACAGATACTCATTTGAGGCTGAATCGACTTAGGGGAGGCCCAGAACCGGTTCAAATAATCGTCACTGATGTTGACCGTGAGGGGGAATTGAACTCGGTTTGCCAGGTTCGTAGCGCAGCGCGCTAACCACTACACCACCGCTCCCCACGCACACACGCACACACTAACACACAATCACCGCCATTCGCCACTAAGTGTCGGTGACGTCACCACGACGCTTGTGCCAGGCTAGGTGCACGTTGAGGCCACGTGAAGTGTCGAACGCCCGCCGGCAGGAGGTCACGGGGCAGACCCAGCAGGTGCCACGGGTCGACTGACCGAGATGACCGAGATGACTGACTGATGCACCACCTGTGCCCCCTACTGTGCCAACTTGCTGTGCTTTATCCACCTGGCGCTCCGCTCGTTGTTGTGAGCATCACTCCTCCGCCCTCCGTTGTTGTTGGAGGGCAACTGCCTCTAACTGCCCAGTAGCGTCCTTCACAAGCCTCCTCCACAGAAGGAGATCTTGACACCGCTGGTACCAGTCATCGGCAAGTCCACTCAGCTCCACGTCCTCCTGTACCACATCACTCCATCTCTTCTCTAGCCCGTGCCGCGCCCGTTTAGCCCCCTCGATCCGGCCAAACAAAAGTTGTTTCGGCATGCGGTGGCTGGGGATGCGGGCTACATGACCCAGCCAGCTCAGACACACACACACTGGCCCACACGCGCAAGTTGTTTACGACAAGTGCTACTCCTGGCTGGGTGCGATTTAAAGTTCCGCAGGTGAGAGTTCTGAGTTTCAGGAACCCTGCCATTTAACTCGAGCTCATGAACAAATCGATACCGTATTAACGCGTCAAGAAGTTGCTGCTGCTGCTGCTTAAGAACCGAACGGACACACATTTTCTACCCCCCCCCCACCCCTTCGCCCGTCACCGGATTAGAACCTTACTCTTTTAGCCTCCGGCAACTTTGATGTGTAACCCCCGCGTGGAACGCCACCGTCGTTATCGGCGATTGCGACCGCGAGAGACCGACTCGTACCGTCACGGCTCTGCTGTGTCGCTGTCACACTCGGAAGATGTCCCAGGGATGGTCGATCCCAGGTCGCTGCTGCTGCTGCTGCTTTTCGCGTTCAAGTTGCGTGTCCACTCGTCCGCGCGCTCGCTGTGTTTGTCGGTGAATCAGTGTGATGTTGTGAGTCAGTGAGTCTGTGCAATCTGTGTGTATGTGTGTGTCAATGGTTGTTGTGTAATCGGTGTGTCTGTGGAGTGTGTGTGTGCGTGTGGTTTGGAAGTGAGTCTGTGTGTTCGCTTTGTGTGTATGTAATGTACGCGAGTTTAGAAGTGAATCGGTGAGTGTGTTGTGTGTGCGTGCCTGTGTGTAGTTTCAGCGAGTGGGTGTGCTGTGTGTAGTTTGCGTGTATGTTTGTGAGCGAGTCTACGAGTGGGCGAGTATGCCCTCCTCTACTGTGGACGAGTCGACGCGTTCTGTGCCTTCTATGCGTCTGTTGAGTGAGTTGAGTGAGTTCTACGACTGCGTGTGCGAGTCTGCGAGCGAGTCTATGTGCGAGCGCGTGGCTGCTGCCTCTGTGCTGTGTACATTCTTGGCACGCGCGGCGTGACGCCAATGGGAGTCTCAATAACCCCACCACCACCACCACACCTCTCTTCTGTCACCGAGCAACCCGCCCAGCTGACACGAGTGTCCCTTGGCTGGGTTGTCTTTTTTTTCTTCCCTTTTTGCTCAGCCGAAATTGACAACTCTCACCACAGCGACACCTAACGACTCATCGTCATCCAAGCTCGAGCAATGCGTCATTCTTCAACGCATTGATGTTCCTATGAAGTCATCCAATGAACGAAACTGCATATAGATTATATATATTAAATATTTTGCCATGTAAGGCCCACACTGAGCTACAAAGCTGTTGTAGTAGGGTTTTACCCTTTAAACTGGTACAAAACTGACACCTTTATACAAGGCATCATGTTTGCAATAACCACAACACAAGCAGTCAAAATGCAAACAAAAATAAACATTTGACTGCTTGTGTTGTGGTTATTGCAAACATGATGCCTTGTATAATGCAAATTCCTTTGTCAATGCGCCCAGCTTATATATATGCTCCAAGCTCGTGTACTGTTTCATTCAGACTCTGTCGCCTCGACGGACCTGGTTTTCACCTGAGGACGGCTGCTTGCGTTGTGGCCGAAACGTCGTGAGAATTGTTCTATTATGTTTTATTTTTATTATTTTATTACTTCCCTTCTACGTGACTTTACCGAAAGAACCAAGAAGATGAATCCCTGCAGTCACGAAAGCTTTAAATCGAAATTGTATAAAGGTGTCAGTGTTGTACCAGTTTAAAGGGTAAAAACCTACTACTATATTTTGCCATTGGTAAAGGAGGTCTCATAGTATAAAGCTGTACTTTGAGAAGCGACCTGACCATCACAAATGCTAGCTCAACGAAGTTACTTAACATGAGGAAATTATATCAGCCAAATAGTCTAAAAGCACGTGGATTCTAAACGTGAAGGGAAAACCCGGAGGACCCGGAGAAAAATCCATGCGACCACGAGAAGAACATGCCAACTCCAGATATACAGGCGTCAGACTCAGAATCGAACCCATGACCTCCTGCACACCAGGCGAGGGAGTTAACATCGCGGGCCAATGCCCGAAACGTCACCAATTTTCTACGTTCCCATTTAAAGGCCGTCAGTGAAAAAGAGCTTCACCGCTCATCGGATTTCTCCAGGACAAATGCAGATTCTGAGTTACGAATGCGAAGAGCTTTGTTGTTGTTGTTGTGGTCACGTGTGCTTGCCCATCACTGCCAGGAAAAATATCATTAAAGAATCCACATCGCCTGGTTATTTGGTTACGAAATTCACTGCATCGCTATGTGTGCGCTATTTGTTAACCAGTTGTCCGCCAAAATCAATATAGTTGCGTTTCTCTTGACCGAGATCGACATTCCGTGTGCTGTATCACGTATTGTTTTGTTTTAAGCAGAACTGAGATTGTGAAAAATTAAATATAAGGCGCTTGCCACCCAGCATGGGTGGTGGTGAAAGATTAAAGGGGAAGCAATCAATGCCAAAAAATCTATGACACTCAATCTAACCCTGCGCACACACACACTGTGGCGGTAAGTGCTGCTGTTAGCGAGCACCTATTAAGGCCTGCATGCCACACGACGTGGCGTAAGCTGCCTTTGTCTCCCCGAGCGATGGTGAGGGCATCACACGTCACACCAGGCCCCATCGATTTGAAAGAGCGCTCTTGCCAATAACATCTGGCAATCTTCTTGGTTCTTTCGGTAAAGTCACGTAGAATTGAAATAATAAAATATTAAAAATAAAACATAATAAAATAATTCTCACGACGTTTCGGCCACAACGCAAGTAGCCGTCCTCAGGTGGAGAACAGGTCTGTCGAGGAGACAGACTCTGTCATATGTGTCAGAGTCTGTCTCCTCGACAGACCTGTTCTCCACCTGAGGACGGCTACTTGCGTTGTGGCCGAAACGTCGTGAGAATTATGTTCTTTCTGAAGCGAACTGAGAATAATTTAATTATGTTTTATTTTTATTATTTTATTATTTCAATTCTACGTGACTTTACCGAAAGAACCAATAAGATGAATCCCTGCAGTCACGAAAGCTTTAAATCGAAACATCTGGCAAACCAGCAGGATATACGTTTTATTCAGCAAGCCTGACTGCTGATTAACATCATTCCAGGAGGCCAGTTGGCCGATAGATGAACAAATGTGAATTTATATTTGTATGCAGAGTTACAAAAGAACGGATGTATTTTAATTAAATTTAGGATGGGTGCGGCATATGATCAGATCGCCTGGAATGTGTCCGAACCTGTCAGATCTCGGAAACTAAGCACGACTGGGCCTGGTTAGTGCTTGGATGGTCGACCAACAGATTGTTTATAGGCTCTGTGGCTACATGGAAATGAATTGTTTCATTCTACTTATATGCTCCCACGCTCACCAACGTGGTGAAGTATGGGGCCGTCCATAAATGACGTCACGCGATTTTGGACGATTTTTGACCCCCCCCCCCCCGTCACACGGCGTCACAAAAAGTCAGACCCCCCCCCCCCTCAAATATGACGTCACAAAGCTGTGGCGCTGCACTCTGATGTTGTAGGAGAAAACATTTATTAAAAAGTCAATTTAATTATAGTACTATAGTAATAGAGCAAGTGCAGAATCACTGAACCGGAATTGATAGCTTGAAAACATTGAGCGCGGGGCCCTTGAAAGTGCGGGGCCCGTAGCTACTACATATGTAGCTACTACATCAGTAGCTACTACATCATACGTAGCTACTACATCATACGTAGCTACTACATCATATATAGCTACTACATAATACGTAGCTACTACATCATATATAGCTACTACATCATACGTAGCTACTACATCATACGTAGCTACTACATCATACGTAGCTACTACATCATATATAGCTACTACATAATACGTAGCTACTACATCATATATAGCTACTACATCATACGTAGCTACTACATCATACGTAGCTACTACATCATACGTAGCTACTACAGCATACGTAGCTACTACATCATATGTAGCTATTTTGCTACTGGGATAATCCGGCACGACTTGAGTAAAATGCGTCACGGCTTTATTTGGCGTTAGCTTGGTCACCGACGCACAAAGCACATTGCATAAAATTATGTTTCCCCCCCACCCCCCCCAGCTCTTAAGAGAATATTTTAAGTTTGATTGACGTATGACCAACTCGTAGCAGTGCATTGCCGAAGGTGTGTCCCGAGTGTGGATGAAGAGATTTAATTAAAGCGAAAAAAAAAGTGATTTGATGTCATCTTCCAGGGCAGTTTTCTACAACACAGGGTGATGCACTGCTAGCGGCAGAGTTATGAATGGCAATGCAATCGATTGGTCTCGTGATAGCACGGTTGGAATAGAATTAGGGAATATTTGATCGAACGTCCAAAAATATTTTAAGGGTAAAGTCAAATATTCCAAGCGGCACTGTTTGTGAAAGGGCTCATATCTTAATTTTTCATGTGAACGCACGTTCGTTCCCCTGCCAGTGAAATACTGTAACAAGTCACTCTACATCATGGGACCTCCTTTGCCAGTACCAAAATATACTAATAGGGGTTTTCCCCTTTTTCTGGCAACAAAACTGACACCTTTTGCAAGTAATCATGCTTACATTAACCACAATACTTGCAGTCAAATGCAAACAAAAAACAATACTCTGATAATTTATGCATTGTCTTTGAAACTGATTGGTCCACACTGCAAGTATTGTGGTTAATGTAAGCATGATTCCTTGCAAAAGGTGTCAGTTTTGTTGCCAGAAAAAAGGGGAAAACCCCTATTAGTATAAGTCACTCTATAGCCAGGCACTTACACCGATATATATACCTTACATACACATTTTGAAATGGTATTACTGGATTTTACAAAACAATTACTCTCAGCACAGTAAGACGATACACTCATTTATAACACGAAAACAGGATGTGTTCATTATCATATTGAGCTCACGCTATTTCAGACGGGATGTTCTATATATTTATATCCCGTGGGAATTTTAAACTTGGTTGAATTAAATCCAGGGAGCGGTGGTTCAGTGGTTCTTGCACAATGCTACGAATCCAGCAATTTGTCTTCGCTTCCCGGTGCCAGCGAACAAGGGTAGCGAGTGATATCCAAAACGGTTCTGGGCGTGCCTCCACAACCACCCAACCTGCAAACAGCCCCCGTGCCCGACATGTTCCCGGGGAGATCTTCACCCATCAATGGATTGAAAAATGATTGTAAATAATGTTTAAATCAACCTAAAAAAATATTTTAAAAATACAGGACAAACATTTATTTTTCAAAATGTCCAAAGAAGCATGGAAAGATGGACGTTTGCAGGAGCACGTGGATTAGAGAACATACCGCATGTTAATTGCAATCTCTAAAACATTAAAAAAAATGCCTTGGGCAGAATACGTCACCGCCAGAAGGGATGATGACCGAGGGTCAAGAATAATTATCGAGTGGCAGTCGAGGAATGGAACGCATCTTGAGAAGCCGTCCACCGGGGGAGATGGAGGGGATGACGTCAGCTCGTGTATACCACGTGATGAGTGAGAAATGGTCGCGTCTTGGGGACACCTTCATCCAGCAGCAGTAGAATTAACAATAATCATGATCTTCTTGGTTCTTTCGGTAAAGTCACGTAGAAGGGAAATAATAAAAGAATAAAAATAAAGCATTATAAAATAATTAAACATAATAAAAAAATGTTTCATTTTTATTATTTTATTATTTCCCTTCTATGTGACTTTACCGAAAGAACCAAGAAGATGAATCCCTGCAGTCACGAATGCTTTAAATCGAAATAATCATGATGATTATAAAAAAAGAGCCGTTGAGGTGGCTCGGTAATTATTTGAGGCGCTCTGGACATTTGACCCGGTGCTGCACAGATTTCTAATGAGAAACGGATCTCAGAATAGAGCAAAGCCGGCTCCGTTCTCAAACCTGCAGCGGAAATGAATAACAAGTGACACCTTTATTGGACTCGTACAATTATAAGCCTCTGTGAGCATCCTCTTAACGCACAGAAAGTCCATCGTGAAAGGCAGGAAGCTAATTAAGAATATCGCCTTACTTCCTGTG